TCCTGGAGGGTCGAAAAACAAGGGTGAGTGGGCCTAAAAATAAAGCTTTGTAGAAACATTTTCGAAAACATAATAACCCTTCATCGTAAAACAAGTATAGTTTCCAAAAGATACATACTACGTATCGTAAGAAAATACTTACTATAGCCTGCAAAATCTCAAGAATTCAACACAACACAATATTTTGTAAGTAGACACATGACGTCCGTAATCGCATAATCTTACTCATGACCGTGGCCCGAAGATGGCCGGAAAAACATCTGCAACTCACGGTGCAATCGTCGGAAGCTGGGAAACAATTTTCCCAAGTCAATTTCTATACCCATCACCACCAAATCAACCATATAGAACCAGGAATCAAACCACAACTTCAAAATGAAGGAATTATGAGTACCCTGAGCTTACCTTAATTGGAAAACCTAGAAATCCGACAAGACAAAATAAACTTTCCAAGGTTAGGCTCGAGTTTCCACTACTTGGGTTTGAGATTGAAGGTTCATTCTTGTTTTTCTTATTTATCGACGAATGAAATGACGAGATGATGGTTGGCGTAATGGTTCGCCAGAGTGAATGATGAGTGGTGATAATGTCGTAGGGCTCACCGTAGTAATATGAGGGTGGTGGTGGTGGTGTGTCTGTTTAGAAAGGGAGATAGTTGAGAGAGAAGGGTAAGCTGAGAGGGAAGAGATGAGAGTTGAGGGGAAAGTAAATAAAGAGAGAGAGAGAAGTCACGGGAGAGAAGAAAGGAACACCCTAAAAATGGGGAGGGATTTCGACACATGTTAACTAAGGAGAAGTCCCAGATGTAAAAATATGTCCAATGGTAAAATTACCAAAATGCCCCTATCATTCTGATTCTCGAAATTTCTTCATTTTAGCGCCAAATTCAATTTCGCTTGAGCTTACACGTTTGCAACGACGAGTCCTACAAGTGTACTCCAAGGGAGTGGGTTTTCGTAAATTCGCGTATTAAAATTTTGACCGTTGGAAGTCTGGGTTTATCATTTTTTGTGTTATTCCAAAAGTTTTCTTCTTAATACTCTTCTTTTCTCTTGGTATTTCTTCTAAATTAAAGTTTGATGCTGAGGTTAACAACTCTAAGAAATCAATCTTGAAAGGTATGTTTTTAAAATGAATTTCTTTTGCAAATTACTATGTTTTCTGCTTCTGTAATTAACATATGAGATGAGGGACCGTGATTTTCTACAGCCGGAGTAAGGCTGATCCGAATATAGTTACCTCAGAAGTCCGGTCATGGACTCACAAGCTCCGGGTAGAGTTGTATCAAACGAAGTAGTGATGCCACCATCACTCTACTCCGGGCCAATAGGCCGAGTCCTAGCTACTCTGTTGGATGACCATGCTTGTTCTGCAAGACACATGATCTGATCTGGATATGGACACAATGAGATCCTATAAGTTTTGGAGTTCTTACAATCTAGGGATTGGCGCGCGCTGCAAGTAATCATAACTCTTAAAAGTGTGCAATATCTACTTCTAGATACCCTCTAGGATTCTCTTGGCTTAGAACGAGGATTCTACCCTAAAAAGTGTCTCTCCCCATGTTATATATACACCCATCTAGGGTTCATCTATGGTTATGCAATCTAAACACTTCAATTCTCTTGTCAACTGCTTGAGTCTAAAATCATTCACTAACTTGATCATCAACGAGCCTTTAGCCGGCATACCCCCCAGTCTTAGGCTTACTCACAGTTGTTTACTGTTTTGCAGGTTACTTGAGTTTATGCTCAACCACTACTTACGGCAATGTGCAATTTGGCTCTAATAATTAGTGCTCTCGTTGAGAGTGAACTCATATTCCTCCCGACCAAATCACTTTGCCAATTGACATGTCAGAAAGCTTAGTTAAAAACAACAACTTTGTCGCCTCCAAGGACGGGCAATATCCACCAGAAGTATGATGGCGTTGCCACCATAGACGAGATGTGGGAAGATGTCATGAAAATTTGTTTATCCCTAGAAGGCGTCCGGCAAAGCCCACTGACTAAAGAACCTACTAGACTTACCAACATGAAGGCACTCATCAAAGACCTCAAAGAAACTATTTCCTGTTTTGAAGAATTGGTTACCCGGAGGGCGAAAGTAATTGATCTAACCTCCAAAGAGTCATCTCAACACCTTATCCTAGAAAAAATACGTACAAAATCCAAAAGGCTTCAGGGTCTCCACTCTATCCAGTGCCCAGTGAGAGAAACACCTTATGGGATGAACTACATATACAATGAGCAAGAATATCTTAGGAGCATCTGAAAAGCAAGAAAAACGGCTTGAAAGAAGCCAAGAATGGTGGCTGCCATCAACAAATCACCAGCGATCGGTTCCAATTTTTTGATGTTCCTTGACCGTGATTTGGAAGATGTCTACTCGCCTCACGACAACACCTTCACCGTTAGGGAATCAAATCTCCCATGCCCTAGTGAGCCGCGTCCTAGTCGATACTGGCTCGGGAGTTAGCGTCATTTTCAATAATGCCGTTGAAAAGATGAGGATTCTCAACAAAGGGAAGACAACCCTTCACACCTTCAACGGGGCATCGATGTGATCTTTAGGAACAGTAAAGCTAGCAGTCCAAGCAGAACCTACAACCACCTAGTGATCTTCCACGTAATGGATTGCCCGACTCCCCATAATGCCATCATCGATAGGAATTAGTTACATAAGATGAAGGCTATTCCGTTTAGTCAGCTCCGCAGACACGCCAATCCTTAGATTGTAAAGACTTCAAGATTATAGAAAACCTGTTGATTCCTTACTAGATTAGGTTTTCGTATCTTGCGGAATAAATATGGTCAATCTCAGCGAAGTCGTCGAACTTCACCCATTGATTCCGAAACAAGATGATGGGGCATTGCTGCTCCGTTTAGTCATCCTCGTAGCGGAAGTTGTTGAGTCTATGACCAGACTTATGAGGTATTCATATTCCGACCTCCCTTACAGACCCCGAAAAATCATGGTTCAATAAATTTTATAATATTTTTTAGATAGTTTCATAGTTGTAATGTAACACTTGAAAGGAAAAAATTCTCACTTCCTTATTATTGTAAGTAACAACACAAAAAGTAAAAAATCAAGCCGCAAAATTCACCCAACACTCTATGTTACCGACGGACCCCCTCACCCTATAAAACCTGTAAAATAGGCCTAGAATAATCAAAAGTTATTAAGGGCCTGTTTGGTATCCTATTTGAATTTTTTTATCATTTCTCAAAACATTTCCTGAAAACAATTTTCTTTAATATTCAAAAACTTGATTGGTTTACAATTTAAAATTTTTAAATCTTACGACTTAAACAAGACAAAGAGATCTAAAGATAGGGGGTCACAGGAGAGCGAGAAAGAGGAGAGAGGAAGAAAGAAAGTAAGAGATGATTGAAGGAAAGAGAAAGAAGAGAGGACCAGATGAGATAGAGAGGAAGAGAAGTGAGAGAAATAACCAAGAGAATGAAGAGAGCAGATTGGAGAAGAGACGAAAAAGGTAAAAAAAAAAAAAAAAAGGAGAGAAAGAAGAAAAGAGAGAGATAGATTTGGAGTGAGAGGGGAGGAGGGAGAGGAAAGAAATATGTTTTTAGAGAATATACTATATTTTTGAGTAAGTCTTGAGTTCAATTTTTGAAAATAATCATGTCAAACAAGTTTTTAAGGCCTAAAACTTGAAAATTGTTTTTGAGTTTAAAAAGTTGGATTCAAGTAGAGTACCAAACAGTAGGGGTGCAACTCGGGCGGGTTGGACGGGTTGGAAGGTCAACCTAATCCTAACCCAACGTTTACAATTCGGGATCAGGTTCGGGTTTACTTGGGTTGGGTTTGGGTTGCCCAACTTTTTCAAGTTTTAATCGGATTCATACAAAGTTTGAATTAAAATACAAGAAATACCAAGGCTAGTACCAAAAAAAGAAAAAGAAAAAGAGGAACACTTCATTGTCCATAGCTAGTACTCAACTCTAGTCTTGTCCTTTGAAACTCTTGCATAAAAACAAAGCTAGTACCAAACCAGACATAGATTACAAGCCTCCTTCAAGCAAAAATCAAAGTGTGGCCGCCAGAAAAACAATTGCTTTCTGCAACTCCATGCACTTTTCTATCATAATCCATCAAAAGTCACTTGTGAATCCTCTACGAAGGTGCAAAGGTCATTGAGAAGCATGTTGCACAGCTCAACCCAATTGGGTTCGGTTGGGCAAATGATCAACCCAACTTAACCCAATCAATGAACGGGTTGAAATTGGGTTAGGTTCTCGGAGGGGGGGGTTATAACTAAAAAAAAAACCTTGCTTGTTCGGGTTTAAGGTTGGATTGAGGGCTGGTTTGGTATTGCTGTGCTTTGAAAAAAAGCTGCTGTGAGAATAAGCGGCTGTGCTGTGAGAATAAGCGGCTGTGAAATAAAGCCAGCAAAGTGTTTGGTAAACTTTTTTGTAAAAGTGCTTTTGGAAACAAAAAACAGTATCATAGTGGTTGGTAAACTTTTTTGTAAAACAGCTGTGACTGTGTGAAATGACCAAAAAGGGTATATTACTAGATGTGCTATTAATTTAATTTTCTTAACAAATAAAAGTGAATTACTAAATATATTTTATTTTTAGAAGAAAAATATTTATAAACTTTATCTTAAATATTAATTAGTATGACAAACTACTTTAATAGAAATATTTTAGAGTGAATAGCTAGGATTCATTAGTACAATATTGTTAATGTACTTGAAAGTAGTCTCAGTCAGTGCTAAATGTGGCTTCCATGCAACCCCGAAATGAGTCCGCCATCATCAATTTGGCAGATAATCATACAATTAAATAAATAGAAGACATTGTTGTAAAATCGACGGTGTAATTTATAATCAAACAAAAAAAAGAACGAGACCTAAATTTTGAACTATAAAAAAAAAAAATTTCAACACGTTATTCAAAAACAATTAAAAAGTAACACATCCAAGATTAACCACACCAACCGTCACTAAGAGTAAAAGTCGCATTCTGACTCCTCCCCCACCTACCACAGAAACCCCAAACAAAACCTCCCAAACCTTGTCATCTCCGCCACTCCGCACCCGCCGGCTCAACCATGAACTCCTCCTCCACTCTCGCTTCCTCCTCCTTCTCTACATCCTCATCTCTCTTCCAATACAAACTCATTCCCAGTAAACCAACCCAACCTTCCCTTCTCCGTTTTGACCCTCCCCATTCCCATAATTCCCACAATGTCCCTGCCCTCAAAGTCACAGCCTCCTCCGCCGCCCACCACCACCGACCCCTCCTCCCAGGTAACACCCACAACAACCCAAGCCCGATTCTTCAAACTCTTAAACATTACGCCAAAACCGCCATTCTCATCGGAGTCACCGCCGCCGTGTTCACCACCAAATCATCGACTTTGCTCGCCATAGCCGAACCTCCGCCGACATTGACCGAAGAAGCGCCGACCCAGGTCACATATAACGAGAACAACCAATCCTCATCGCCATTGTCCGACTTCCTGGGTTCGAATTCGGAAGCCATCGGTGCCCTGAAATCGCTTCTGCAGCAGAAGCTCGAAAACGGCGAGGACGACGAGGCGCTCAAGATCCTGCAGCGCTTGGTCGAGGCGCAGCCGTCCAATACCGAGTGGAAGTTCATGATGGAACGAGAGAACGAGAGAGAGCCTGAGGTTCGGGTTATGCGAGAGAGCTCTGAGGTGAAGAGCGTGCGAGAGAGTTCTGGAGAAGGGAAAGGCGAGAGCGTCGGTGAAGGGAAAGCCGAGGGCAGTTTTGGGTTATGGTATATTTCATTAAACGTGGACACTGTTCATCCGTGTGTGGGTGAAAATAAGCTGCTTTTGGAAGCTGCAAATTGCAGCTTCTTGTCATCTCTTGGTTTTGGGCTTTTTTTCACCCTCAACTTTGAAACAAAGCTGCTTTTCAAAGTTTACCAAACACCAAAAATTTTCATAGCTTTTTTTCATAGTAGCTTATTTTTTAAGCACCTCAATCCCAAACAGGCCCTGAATATAGGTTGTGCCAACCAAGTTGCACCCTTACCAAACAGGCCCTAAACTTTTTGTTTGTTTGTTTCTTTCGTGTTTACAAAAAAAGTAAGGGCCTGTTCTTTTGTAAACCCGATCGCATCTCAAAGAAAGGCGAAGGAAATTGACAGTACACAAACCCCTATTCCTTCTCTCTCTCTCTCTCTCTCTCTCTCTCTCTCTCTTTCGAGCTATGAGTCTCTTCGGTCTGGGCAGGCAAGTTCAAACTTTTCATCCCCCCAAGAATGGAGCTTTCTTCCATGCGTGTTTCATTTCTGGTGTTATTTGGTTCTGAATCTTTTGATGGAAGTTTTTGTTTCGTTATTTTGATTTTCTGATCAGTTGATGGCCGATGTGTTATGCTGGAATCCCTATCGCTTGATCTATGAAATTTGTGATTTGATGTATTCTTTTGGATTTTTTTCCTGCCACGGTTATATCTTTTTGTTAATCCACCATACTGATACTGTAGGTGTTGTGTAAATGGAATATTGCTTGGTAAGGAAAGTCAATGATTCGTAACCATGCTGCCGTTGTTAGTTGTTAAATTTTAAGCATTTTTGTTGAGGGACTGTGGCTTATCTACTTCAATCTCTTTGTACAGTTTGCCAGTTTATTATCTGTCCCTTTTTAGAATTCTAGTGAAGTGGCAAAATACTTAGCAGAGTTTATATGCAATTTCTTGTTGGAAGGTATTGAGGTAGGGAGAAGGGATTGATTTGTTTGGGTGTAATATCTAGAAGGAAACCAGAGGGTGGTTTAGGGCGTGGGTGATTTGGTCAAAGAAAAATGGGGAGATGCTTGTGTAATGACTGTGTAGGTTTCCTTTGTGGAGGGTTCTCGTCCACTGGAAAGTTTAAGGATTTTGCGGATGTAAAAGGGTTGAATTCTTATGTAGGTGTGATGCATTGTTTGATTTTTGGTGGTGTTCCTTGTAAATAAAAGGAGGGTTTTTGACAGTTTTGGAGAGGAGGGCATGGAAGTTTGCAGGACAATGTTCGATTTGGGTTTTCCTTGTGGGTTCAGTCTATGGGCATTCCTTTTTATGCTGTATACTGTTGTTTTTGTAGGTGGCAGTTTTCTGTTATTCGATTCTACTGGTTTTTAGAATTTAATAAAATTTGGTTCTTAATAAAAATAAAAAAACAAAAGAATTAGACTTTTTGCTTCTGTCGGGACTTCTCTGTCAAAACATTTTGTGATTTTCATGATTGGAGCGGGAGTTTTGAACTGAGGGCTATTTGAGATGCTCTTCTATCAGTTGGTTTAGGTTTGTTTCTTTGGTTTTTCTGTTTCTTTTGTTGTTTTACATGCCATTTAGTTTACTTGTTCATGCTTCTTGTATTCCTTGTGTTTCCTCTTAATAAATAGTGTTTGTTATTTTCCTGTGTTAGCATGTGCATGTACATAAATGCAATTTTATTTGCTTCTTAGTTGTTTAGTACATTATGATTTTAGTCACTATCAATTTTGTAAAACTGAAGTTTGCTAATGGTGCAGAAACCAGAGGACATTCCGCCCGAAAAAAAGTGCACCTTCAGGGAGCAAGGTTGTTCACCTTTAATTAACTTGTTCTCCCTGAGTTTATTTATGTATCTAATCTATATTGGTTCATTGTTCTTCCCATATACAAAAGTTTTATTGAGTTTTAGTAGCTGTTTATACCCATATTATATGGGCATAAGTTGTAATTTTAATTTGCTTATTTTCTCATCTGATTCTTTTTACTTAGAAATTGAATTGTACTGATAAATATTTTTGTCCTTGCTTTTAGCTACTGCACGTATTTTCTCGTAGTGTTTAACCTCATGATGTGGGATTTAAAACTTTAAAACTTTTATGGTTTAAACCTGTACCTGTGAGTTTAAATCTCTTAAATGATAATATGGACAATTTGGAATGAGAAAGGAGCATGTTCAAACCTGACTTGAATCAGAAATCAGCATTCATGAAGTTATAATTTAAAGACGCAAAGTGAAAGTAACTGATTTTATACTACAATCATATAGGTTAACTGAAATCATTAATTTTTTTTTTTCTCTTGATGCAGGGTGCTCAGCTTAGAAAGCATATTGATGCCACACTTGGTAGCGGCAACCTAAGAGAGGCAGTAAAACTTCCAACTGGAGAAGATTTAAATGAATGGCTTGCTGTCAACAGTTCTCTCTCTCTCTCTCTCTCTCCCTCCCACTCACACATCACAAACTGTAATTTATAGTTTGTTTTGTCCATTAAATGGTTGATACGTGGTTAAAAGTTTTGTTTCTTGTCAAAGGAAGAACATATGGTTGCATAAAATCTCTGTTTAGCTTGTTGTGTGATGTCTTAGACAGTAAAAGTTTCTATGTAAAAGGATTTACATGAAAATGGGACTCTTTCCTCCGAATTTCTTTCGTTTGGATGCAACTTGAAATATTATTTGAAAATATATTTATGTTTTTATGTGTCTCTCGTAGAAAGGATTGTGAGAAAATAGCTAGAATTTATAAGTATAGAATAATCAGTTGAAGGGGAGTGACTTTACTTCATAATATTACCATGTTCCAGACAAAAACCAGAAATTTGTAGGGCTTGCCTTTGTGTTTCTTCCAATTAAAGAAGGGAAAGAGGAGAGAAATGAGGTATTGAAGAAAAATGAGAGTCGAGGATAAAAATAGTAGGAATAGATAAAACTAAAACTAAGTACAAAGACCATTTTACGTGTTGTTGCTCCTTCCTTCACATCTGATCTCGTGTTCCTCATGTCCCCGCACCCTGACTAAACGAGTAAAAAACACACAAAAAAAAAAAATGAAAAAACGCAACAATTGTGTGAATTTCATTTTCTCAAGTCTTTTAGGAAAAATAAACTTCGTTACAACAGTCAAGTACCTTCTTCCAGCAATTTTCTTTTTACTTCAATCTCTTTTGTGTACACTATTTCTAAAATGTTGTTGTCGGTGTTTTAATTTCAGCTGTGGATTTCTTCAATCAGGTCAACTTGTTGTATGGTACCCTCACAGAGTTCTGCACTCCAGAGAATTGTCCTACAATGACTGCAGGCCCCAAGTATGGGAGTGTATCTTTTTTTTATTAAAACCGTTTTGCTCTTTCTTTCCTGATATCATTAGTTTTGTTTGGGGTTTTACCAATGTGTTACTGGCTTCTTGTCTTTCTACCAAAAGTCTCTGGGGAGCATGGAAACACACTAAGTACAAGAGTTTAAGAAAGCTAGATTTATTGATCCTGAAATTAATAGCAATTGGGTCCGTTTGCTAGTAGGTGTTCACATATTGATAGACTATAAATAAACTATTAATTTGACTATCTTATACTGACATGTTTAATGCAATTAATCAATACTACCATGAAAAGGATTAAGTATTCAATATCAATATTATTTAGATAAGGTAAACCTCCGTATCTGTTGCATATCCATATCCCCGCGTGTCAGATACGGGATACGGAGGTAAACCTCCGTGTCTGTGCAGGGTAGGATAAGATAAATGAAGCTTCTACCTATCTCTACGTCTTGCACCACCCTGTCCCAACTTTTGTGCTTCATGGGAAACCAATCTCCTCTTTTAAACAGTATGTGGACCTTTCATGCCTCAACTTCCCCTTTCTCTTTTGGATTTTATACCTTTCTCTCAGCACCAATGTATTATAGACGTCCTCTGAGGCTGGGTGTGTGAGGGTTGCCGCCTCTATTTTGAGGGAGTGGACGGAAGGCGTCATTGGAGCCGCCTAGGCGCTCCTCAGGGGCTTTTTATTTTTATTTTTTATTGCTATATGTGTGCTCATTGTGCTTTGCATCCTCTATTTTATATATATATATATATATATATATAAAATATAAATTATGTATATATATGCGTGTATATATATTGATAATATATGTGTACACTCGGTGTATATTAAAAAATTTAGGTCCCAAGAGGCTTCGCCTCACGCCTAGGCCGGGCTATCCCTTAGACGCCTTACCCACGCCTCACGCTTTTAACACACTGCTCAGCACCAGTACTTGCATAATTTCTTATACCATTCTGGTCATTCAGAATGTGGTTTGTCTGCTAACCAACCTTTACCTGGCAGCTCTAGAGTTACTATTACATGAAATCAGTTTTGAAATACTGTCAGCAACTTACTACACTTTTTTTCATGTAAAACTTCAGAAAAATTATGTACCCCCAATTTCTCTTTTTACCTGATGGCTTGGACAATTTTAACGACTGATCAAATTGTGCCTACAGTAACTTTTATTCTAATCCAGCTTCTGTTTTTAATTATGAAGTTTGGTTTTTGTTTATTAAAACTCTACAGGTATGAGTATAGGTGGGCCGATGGTGTACTAATTAAGAAACCTATTGAGGTTTCGGCTCCAAAATATGTTGAATATCTAATGGACTGGATTGAATCTCAACTTGATGATGAATCCATATTTCCCCAAAAGCTTGGTAATACTATTTATTACGATATCTTCTTTTCCTCATATTGTGTTGTTCATTTAATTAATATAATTCATTGTCTGTTCACTTTTTTTTTTTGTCATTCAGGTGCACCATTTCCCCCCAATTTCAGGGAGGTTGTGAAGACGATATTCAAAAGACTGTTCCGTGTATATGCCCACATATATCACTCTCATTTCCAGAAAATTGTGAGCCTTAAGGAGGAGGCCCATTTAAATACTTGCTTCAAGCATTTCATACTATTTACCTGTGTAAGTACTCTTACTATTGCAATAACTGTTTTCTTTTCTTTTTGAAAAGTATCTAGTTGTATGTTTATTTATTTAATCATTGTATCTTGTTGATGACGTCGATAACATTCTGAAATTGATTATCGTCTTGCTTTGACTTAAATTGGCCCTTGAATTAGGCAACCCTTTGGGGGCAATCCACGTGCCCTAAACTTTTGGGATCTGTTCTTGGATTGAGTGAGCAGGACAAAGGATTGGTGGAAAGGGGTGGGGGGTGTGGGGGTGGGAGTGGTTTGATTGTGGTCTAGCTGTTGGTAAGGGGTCAACCAAGGTTTTGATAAAATGCATAAAACCAAAACACATCTCTGACATCAGAGTCGCAACTCTCAAACTACAGCAGCTTCCCGATCTAATTAATTTATAGTAAGTAAACTCTCTCTACAGGGTATAGAGGGTGAAGCCCATAAGGAATCTGCGACTTTTCACAAACAGCGTTGAATTGTAACTGAGGAGTAACCCAAGCTAACCTGTGCAACCTCAACCAACTACTACCAGAGACCCCAATGTACACGCAAAATGTAAGGACAAGCTACTTCCAGATTCTGTCTCTCTTTTGCACAAAATACACCAGTCAGGAGACAGCCAAATATTGGATCTTCTCTGTACTGAATTGCAAGTGTTTGCTTTTCTGTGAGCTATGATCCTAGCCAAAACACAAACCTTAGGAGGAATACTAGACTTCCAAAACATTTTAGGAGACTGGAACGCAGACAGAAACTGCTTATCACAGTAACAATTGAAAAATGTCGTACATGGGAAGTAAATCTCTGTGAGCTAGTCCTTCAGCTCCCAAAGTACCTGATAGGAGTGAGTGAATTGACTTTGGAAATCCAGAGAAAGTTGTGTTATTTGTATTTTGCTAGGCTTGACATCGAGGGACAAAGGAAATTATCAAGGGCATCTGAAGCGCAAGTGAAGATCCTTATGACTGAGCATGATGGGGTCATCAGAAATCAAATATGAGTGATTCTAAGCTTACTGCACTTCCAATAGAATTTGAAAGAAGGGTTAGAGTGGATGTTCTTTTGGAGAACAAGTGAAAGAACCTTTGTAATTCACAATTGGCACAACCTGCTCTTGCTAGGTAATTCACCATTGACTATTAGCGAACTTAGAGGTAATGTAAGCTTGGATCCATCACATCATGGCTTGTAGGACTTGTGCCAACAACAAATGCAGATTGGTAATGAGTCATGATTGGTAGTGTCTGGAAGAACAGCCTCGATTCCTTTAGCAATGAGCTTTGAAATGATTTTATGTAGTGTATTGAAGCAGGAGATAGGCCTCAACTCGCTCACTTTGGATGTGTTGGGGGCTTCAGGAATAAGAGTGCCATCGTTTATTTTCTGCTTTAGTAAGCATACCTTGGTCACGCTTCCATTTCTTGGGAAAAGCTGGTGGAATGTGTCATACAGTTAGAAACGTCTACTTTTGTGAAACTTAGGTTTGATGTAATTCCCCAAAAATGCGGTAGGAAGACATGGACTATGTACAGTTTGATTGTATTCCCAAAAATGATGCTAGTGGGAAAAAGTACCAATAAATTGAGATGCTCAAACATTCAATTCAATTTTATCAAAAGCGGCATAGACATGTAGTTGTCCGAACACCTGTCATGGCTTTATTGTTATCCGATAAAAATTATATTCCTGGAATAAGAACATAACAGTTAGGAGAGAACGATATTACTAATGCATAAGAGTCATGGCTTTATCTTACTTGATGGACAATACTTGTTGGCAAAGCCGTAGGCTGATTACATTATACTGCGTTTTTTCTTTTGCAGGAATTCGTGCTAATTGACAAGAAGGAGCTAGCTCCACTGCAAGAGCTTATAGAATCCATCGTTGTTCCTTATTGAACACGGTTTGCAGATCCCAATAAGGAAGCATATTTGAGTCAAATAATCTCTACTCATCTTTACAGCCTGCGACGTTGCGTGGTATAAATACTTTTTGTGCATATGCTGTGTGCCTTGGACTTGAAATGTTTATTCGCTGGTAATTTATTTCCATCTAAGATAGTGTGGAAAGAAGTTGCTCTTTGTACAAGCGGCTGAACCGGAAATGGCTGAAGTCGATCAGCTCAAGTTTTAGCTAGCTGGTTTCACTTTGTAGAAACATTAAGTGAGTGTTGTATTTGTATTTGTTGGTTTTACATAAAAAACTAGTGGCTCGTTAAATTTAGTTTCAAACAATTTCGAGAATAAATTATGAATTGTTTGAAGCAATATGCTCCTTAAATTTCCTTAAATTTCAATTCTATACAACCAAGGAAATCTTTTAATTTATTTAAATGATTGTAAATATTCAATTAAAGTACTAATGTATCCTTATTATGTAAATGTTTATTGCAATTAAGGGTAAAATAGAAAAAATAAGGACATGAATGATATTTTCAGAAAATGGTCGACAAACGGTCTCTCGATAATATGCTAGCAATTGTAGCATACTGTGCATGTGCTTATTAAAATTTTGAAAATAAATTTACAAAGAGAAAATATATAATGGTCGCTAAAGCATTTTGGTGGCGATCTTCAAATGATTGTTTTTGTTGCTAAAGAGGTTGTTCATATCTTTGCAACTACTTCTGGATAACTATTTTGCCATTGAAAGTTTATTTTATTTGGGAGAAAAACAAGGAATAGAAAATGAGGGCAACTAATATGGTTGCTGGTTGTGAGGCTTTAAGAAAAACAATAAAATTATTTTGTGGTTAATTTACAATATTGCAGATAACTTTTATTTTGGGTGTTATTCCTTAGTTTTGTTGACAAGGTTAATTTTGTCTTTTCACTCTCTTTTGATTGACAAAGAGGTTTTGTTAATAAGTAGTATAGATTAATGCCGAAGCTTTTTCTTTTGTGATAGTTTTATTATTATAAACAAAGGATTAAATTTTTTTTTTTTCAGTCTCATTGTTTGGATGAAGAAATTTAAGATTACCGAGGAATTTTAAAATGACGGGATTTTATTTTCTAGAATTTGTGAATTTTCTGGTTCGGTTAACCTATATGTTTGGATGAGGGAAATAAAATCGGAATTTGAATAAAAGTCAGAATTTGTAAATTGGCATGCACTAATTCTCTTGTTTGGATTCATAAACATAGAAATTTAGACTTTTAGTGTGAAAAAAAAAAAAAAAAAGAAAACTTGGAATTTGGGACCACCAATTTCCAAGTTTAAATTCCATGTAAAAATGTGTCATTTCCCAATTCCTATGATCGAGAGTTTAAAAATAACAAATTCCGTATTCAATTCCATCTTTTAGGTTAATCAAATAAGAAAATTCACAATTTCTAGAAAATAAAATTTCATCATTTTAAAATTCCTTAGTAATCTTTAATTTTTTTTTTATCCAAATGTAGTGAAAGAATAATAGAATTGAATACGGAATTTGTTATTTTTAAACTCTCAATCATAGAAATTGGGAAATGACATCTACTTACATGGAATTTAAACTTGGGAATTGGAGGTCCCAAATTCCAAGTTTTTCTTTCACGTGGAAATTTTAAATTTCTAGGTTTATGAATCTAAACAAGAGAATTGGTGCATGTCAATTTATAAATTCTAACTTTTATCCAAATTCCAAATTTTTTTTTTTAATAGAAATGATAGTAGATTGGTGAAAAAGTTGTTGCAATGGTTGAGTACAAAGCCAGTTTTAGGCGAAGAGGATTCCTTAACAAGCAAATCTAGGATTATACTTGGAGGGGAATCAAACCATTCACAACCTTGAGTAATAGAAAGACCAAGACGGGCAAGACGATGAGCAACACCGTTGACTTGGCGATGAACATGGGTAAATGAAGCTTCAGTGACTGACGGAAGAAAGGTCTTAATGTCTTCAACAACTTACCCAACTAGAGACAAACTAGTAGAAGGATCAGACAACGCATGCACAATCTAAAGCGAATTATATTAAAAAATGATTGATTGTCGCCCAAACCACAGCCTCATGGAAGGCAGATGCTTCGGCCTGGAGAGGGGAGAAAATGTCGGAGTAACTGCCACTTTTTGCCGCTAAGAAGTTCCTTGATGCATCCCTGCAAATGCATTCAAAACCACCCATTTTAAGTAGCGAATTCCAAGCCCCATCCAAATTAATCTTTAGTGAACCAACAGGGGGAGGAGACCACTTGTAGATTTCAAGAGGCCTCGCAGAGGTGGGTGGCAAAGAGGCGTTTGATTGGACGAAAGATTGCCACCATTGGAGCCCGCGAGCCACAATAGTATCAAGGGGGTCACATCTACCGTCCCACAACATGGAGTTTCTAGCACCCAAAATGGCCCAACAAATGACTAAGAGGAATCAAAGTTAGAAGACGGCATTTGGTCAGCAATTTCCATAAACCAAAGTATGGGTGAGTGGGGATTAAATCCACGCCGTGGGATGCCTAAGGAGGAAGGTAACCAAGCGCATCTAGCGAAGGGGTAGTCCTTGAGTAGATGTAAAATTGACTCCTCCTGGGCATTACAAATTACACACGAAGAATCGCCCGTAACATGCTGTTTGGCTAGATTAGAATAGCAGGCAATAGATTTTTGCATCTCCCAACACAACCTTTGATCTTCGAAGGGATTTTGGCCTTCCAAATCTTGTCCCAAAACTTGGCGGCAACGCTTGAGTTCGAAGAGGAGGTCCCAGTGTTCAATGGGTGGACCCATTCACGAGCAACCAAGTATGCACTCTGCATAGTGAAGCGCCCCTTAGGATTATAATGCCATATAAAGGAATTAGGGGGTGAGCGGATACTCAAAGGGATGGCATGAATGGCTTCCACTTCGTCAACTGAGAATAACATCTGTAGAAGGGCAACATTCCAAGATTTGGAGATGGGGTCAATGAGATCACTAACCGTTGAGAGAGCACAAGTAGCAGGCTTCAGCAGAGAAGGCTTGAAAGATCATGGGATAGGAACCCACAGGTCATTCAAAATAGGGGAATTTTATTTAAATTCATCCAACCTCTTTCTACACCCAACTTACTCTCTTCACCCATATTGTTTTTTATTAAAGAATTAATATCTCTTTAAACCCAAATTTATTACTTAAACTACCCTCTCAAACCCAATTCAAAATGTAAAATTATCTTTACACCCATTCCCTTTATAAAATGTAAAATTATCTTTACACCCATTCCCTTCTATAATTGCATATATCGTATAGGACTAGCATTTTCATGGTTGCTTTTTTTCTTTCTGCTACCACAACCCATCCATGGACTTGGGATCCATGAGATCATTCCATAGACTTGAATTTGCCAAGAGAATATTAAGCAAGCTCCAATTCAGTCCTTTTAAAATCGATCATTTTCATGTACTTTTTAAGAAACTTTGAAGTGACATAGGGCTGGGTGTTTTGCTACTATGTTAATAAACAAATAAACAAATAAACAAATTGGAGCTATTTCGAATAAAAAAGGTGTAAGACATGCCACCCGCTAGTTCGTGGTTAAGGTTGAGAAATCTTTATTTGCACCAAGAATCAAGTTTTATGTCTTTGCAGTACTAATCAAAAGTCCTTGCGTTGGTGTTTTGGGGCACATACAGACGACAGAGAAAAATAAATCATTGTTCTAAAAATCCTCGCCTAGTGCCGCCTACGCGCTAGGTGGCTGGCCACTGCCCTGATTAATGTCTAGGCATTTGAAAATTAAGAAAGGGCACCTAGACCTGCTGAGGTGCCTGCCTAGACCGCCTAGGCACCCACTTAAACACCTATCTAGGTTGCAACTCACTTAGATAGAAAATAGATAAATTTCCTTTTGCATTTTATTATTTCCAATAAATTGTAGGAGACTTATTGAACACTTAAACAAACACACATTATATGTTTGCTCCCCATGTTTTTCATTATGTTCCAATACTTCATAATATATATGTCCTTGTATTTTCTAGTTTATGATGAAATTATATATATTTTAAGTATAAACAGATACTTATTTACATGAAATACAATAGATTTACTTAAATCCGCCTAGTCCACCTAGGCTCCGACTAGCCACCTAGGCACTAGACCCCAACCCGCCGTTCGACTAGCGTCTAGCGTCTTTTACAATATAATATAAAAAGTATGAAATTTAATCCAAAGAAGAAGCAAACAAATAAAATATCCATGAATCAAGTCATACCTTAGTTGGAGGATTAAAAATTTCAAAATCCATCCATCAATAGAAAAACTTGATTTTCTCTATCAAAGGTATTAGGGTTTTAGTCGGAATGAACATAAGATAAACAAAGGGTGATGCTAGGGTTTAATTATAGTATGTGGGTCTATTGATAAATTTGATTTTTATTATTAATTTTATTTTGTACTTAATAGTAATTATACAATAGAGTAAAATAGACAATTAACATTTAAAATTTAAGTTGGGTGTAGAAAGTGGTTAGATGGGTTTAAATAAAATTTCCCTTCCAAATATTAGTGGAAAACCCCCCTCCAATCTACCACCAAGAACCAAGGGATATGACTTGGGAAATTTGGAAAAATAACCAAATTTTAGACCTCATATAGAATTATAACCACTATTTTAATTTTATGATAATTATAACTAAAACTTGATGTAAAAGTATTAATATACCCTTAATACTAGGGTTTCTCTTAACAACCACAACACAACCTCTAAACTACCTTAAAATGTTGAGGATTACTGCAGGTTGAGGCCACTGAATTATAGAGGTGCAAACATATTGGTGTTCGCTATCTCTTTAATTAGCAGGACAAGCTATCTCTTTAATTATTATTTTTTTAATTAGATACTTGGATTTCGTGTTTCACTGACTAAATTGCATACATTCCGATATATTTTTGCAGTGGATGAAGAAAGAATACGAAATTGCATATGCAAAGTGCATATGCAAAGTGCATAGTGAAAACAAAAAGTGATGAAGATTAATTTCTCATTTTAAGATGGGAACTATTATTAGCACTTCAAAAATCTCATTCTGCACTCCTTCGATTTTTCTTTCTAATTATAGAAAATTTGGAGTTGGAAATGAAATTTTTGGAGTACTAATAACGATTCTCTTTAGGATAGTCTAAAAGTTTGTTTTGGTTGTTGTGAGAAACCCTAATATTAAGGGTATATTAGTACTTTTACATCAAGTTTTGGTTATAATTATCATAAAATTAAAATGGTGGCTATAATTCCATAATAGGTCTAAAATTTGGTTATTTTTTCAAATTTCCCACATGACTTTGCGAGCAGTGCAAATACTTTTCCAGCAAA